GAAGATAAGCCATGTGTAGAAGATACATAATGCGAAGATAAGCCATGTGTAGGAGATACATAATGCGAAGATAAGCCATGTGTAGAAGATACATAATGCGAAGATAAGCCATGTGTAGGAGATGCATAATGCGAAGATAAGCCATGTGTAGGAGATGCATAATGCGAAGATAAGCCATGTAAAGAAGATACGTATGGTAAGAGTCATACCAATAAAACATATTAACTGGTAGATCACACAAAACATCGTGACCTTCGATTAGAATGTTTCGCTCAAGGCAAGCTTCACTGAGCGAAACATTGTATATAATGAAGTGTTATGCTGTTGTGTCATTTAAATCGTGTGTAGACTCCCTGCGTCTTCAACTGTCTTAACGAACGGTTAATTCTGTATTTGCAGTATTTGCAGCGTATTGGAACTGGTAAATAGTCCTTGGTGTTGACAGATTCAGCCTTTGCAGAGAATTAGTGTTCGTAGCTACAGTCTTTGCAGGGAATTAGTGCTGATAGCTACAGTCTTGCAGCGTATTAGTGCAGATAGATACAGACTTTATAGCGTATTAGTGCTCGCTCACACACACACTCTGTGACTCGACCCCTGCAACCACAGCTAGGTGAGTACACATACACATCAGTGTTCATCGAAAGATTCAACGCTTATTTTATTATTTTAATAAGGTAAGATGGATCTGCAGCGTGTGTGCCAACCTTATTCAATATAATTGCACTGATTATTTCTAAAGCATACTGGGGGAGTGTGGGGAGCGTAGGATGTGTCGAGAGTGAGTGTGGGGAGGAAGGACCGGGAGGGAGAGTGGGGAGGGAAAGATTTATAGAAACACTATCACTGTTGTCATTACAGAGACAATGAACATTAGCTTTACCTGACTTAACCTACACATTTCCTCTCCTACGTCCCCCTTCCCTTCACCCCTCCTCTCCCTCTAACTTTCCCCCTTCCCTACACCCCTCCCTCCCTCTAACTTTCCCCCTTCACACCCCTCACTCTAACTTTCTCCTTTCACACCCCCCTCCCTCTAATTTTTTCCCCTTCCCGAAGGATAAACAAGGTTCTCACGGCAGGGTAATTGCCCACCAGGTGATCGATATTTCATTTAACACAAAAAAGGTCTCCAGCTAAACCTCTCCTCGCATGGCAGGTCAACCCAGGACACTTTACTCAATTAGTGAACCAGTAAATATATACCTTGTGTTCTTTCTCTCGCTCTAGTTCTCACTCTCACTCTCTCTCTCTCTCTCTCTCGCTCTCTGTCTCTCTCATTTCTTAGCATATATCCTCAACAAAGACATTGGGGTTTCCTGTTGTCTGTTTTTCACATGTATTCACTAGACAAATAACACACAACTGCAATACTTTTGTTTTTTCCTCGGCAACAGAGATACTCAAGCGTTCATCATGGGTCTTACCCATCAACTCGTCAGTATTTTATATCACCAATAATTTCATTCTCTGTCATTTCTCATTCTAATTAATTCTTCCGGTGGTATAAAAACGCAGAATAAAGGCCGTTGTATTTCAACATATAAGTTATCTTATGTCACCACATCCTTTGATACCTTTGAAGTGTTTCGAGAGTTTCCCTACTCCAGGAGCCCGGCCCTGAGCCAGGCTCGTCTGGTGCTAGCCTGGTCAACCGAGCTGTTGCTGGTGGCCTGCTGGCCCATACATCCAACACAGCGTGGCTGATCTGGTTGACCACATTTAAAAACTAATGTATAAGAACTGGAAGTGATAACGTCAGAGGATCTCACCTTCAAGGACCATAACATTGCATCAATCGCATCTGCTAGAAAAATGATAGGATGGATAATGAGAACCTTCAAAACTAGGGATGCCAAGCCCATGATGACACTCTTCAAGTCGCTTGTTCTATCTAGGCTGGAATATTGCTGCACACTATGAGCACCTTTCATGGCAGCTGTAATTGCTGGCCTAGAAAATGTACAGAGAACCTTCAAGGCACACATATCTGCGATAAAACACCTCAGTTACTGGGAACGTTTGAAGTTCCTCAACCTGTACTCCCTAGAACGCAGGCGAGAGAGATACATTATTATATACACTTGGAAAATCCTAGAGAGAATAGTACCAAACTTGCACACGAAAATCACTCCCTATGAAAGCAAAAGACTCGGCAGACGATGCAATAAAAAGCAGGGGCTCCAATAGCACGAGAAGAGACAACACAATAAGTGGCAGGGGCCCAAGATTGTTCAACTGCCTCCCAGCATACATAAGGGTGATTACCAATAGATCTCTGGCTGTCTTCAAGCAGGCGCTGGACAGGCACCTGAAGTCAGTACCTGACCAACCGGGCAGTGGTTCCTACGTCGGGTTGCGTGCGGCCAACAGTAACAGCCTGGTTGATCAGGTCTTGATACGCCATGAGGCCTGAAGTCTTAAGGATACAAACAATCTCTACCAACAGATAACACTGGGTAACAATGGTTTCAATTCACTTTAAAAAATGTGAATTTCTAACTAATTTTCTGTCGATAAACTGAAACCCAAACAAAATTTTTCTCCGACATGTACAGTTGCAACGCAACAGAACCCAGCGGTCAACGATTTAACCAAAACATTGCCACCATGAAGAATATATACCAAGGAAACCTGTCAATCAGTTTAATGGTGGACTACTGGTGGTCACTGGTAGGCGAGACTTAAACTGAACACAAGCGAACAAGCTTGAAAACTGTGATGTTAATGTTTATAAAACTGTACGGAAATTTATGTTTTTTTTTTTTTTTTGTAATGACTTATAATCAATTTGCGTTAAGAAAGATTATTTTTTGCCAGTGCATGAACCACACTTAATATACGTGCATAACATAATACCTATAATTGTTAGGTAACATATGTCATATGGCTTTTTAACCCTAATTAGTCAAAATATTGATCATAAGATTTAAAAATTAAAGTGTAATGAACGACTGTCAAAGCTCAATTATAATCCGTATGGAGACAGAAATTCCAAAGATTAATTGATCTCTATATTTCGATCTTCTTCTGGGATCAGCTTCATAAGCTGATCCAAAGAAAGGAAGGGTAATTCTAATTCTCTGTATCAAAAGTCATTCAGTAGCATTAAGGTCCCTCTCATACAGAATCCTTCTGATGACCTAAATCACTTCTTGTATATTTGCGTTAGTGCTTGAAATAATATTTACGTAATGTATGTTTTATATACGTGTCACGAATATTGCAAATGTCTTTATATTATGTTTGCCACGTTTATTATAAATCCACCTGACTGTATTTCCCAGTGCTGACACAGCCCCCTGTAAACATAGCGTACTTGTTAAAAAAAAAATGGTATCCTAATAAGGTCCTTTTCCCCTGTTTCTGTGATGACCCAGTCTAAGAAATTAAAATTCCCACTTCAGAGTTACTGCGGTCCTGCTGAGGAAAAACTGAAATTTTCCCCAACTACTGAAACACAGTGGAAATCATTGACTGAATCCTCGTCGCCTTAAGGACGCCTGTAGTTGAAGACACATGACCAAACACTTGAGACATAAGTCTCCTAAAGTGTCGTGAAATGTCCTAAATGTATATTCATGGAACTTTAACCACAACTTGTTGGTATTATATGCTAGGTTTATACCTTAATGAAGTCTCTCAGCTAAGGCTAAGAGATTTCATTACTTCATTTATGCAACCAATCCTGTGTGGTGGAATATCTTAGCTAAACACAACTAGCTTTTGTTCCCACTACGCAACTTCACCATTGAATAGAGAAGCAGTGCACTGCAAATATATTTATTTGTCAAAAAATGAAGATTAAGATTGTACTCACAGGAACTTTAGATCTCCTGCAGGCTTGCTGGAGGTCTAGACACTTACCTGGAGAAAACAACATTTAATGTAGGTGAGGAGGTCACGAACTTGGTCTTTGGGAAAGAATATCAGTGAAATGAAAATACAAAAAATACTATAAAAATTAGGTAGTAAATCCTCTATATATGTTTTCTAAAGTCTCTCTCTCTCTCTCTCTCTCTCTCTGCAGAGTTTGGCTAAAAGTCCTACCATTATTTAGCAGCTAAGAGCTGTTACTTGCCTCAGCTCTTTAAAATCCTTCCCTAGCATTGTTATGACTATATTTTAAACTAAAAATATGAGCCATAGGATGACAAAGGATGCCTTTTTCAAATTACTGTCACGTACTATTGTCTTTAAAACACTCGTAACTTAACCTTATCTTTGCCCTTTCTGTTGACCTGTCTTCTGTATTTCCTGTGCCTTTCCCACTTTCTTCTTCCCTATTTGTATCTTTCTTTCTTTCCTAGTATGGGCCATTCAGCTTTCTTCAGGGTTCCTCTTTTCTCTCCAGTATTCCTTTGTGTGTTACTCTGGGACGTGTGATAGAGGGCGGAATTACCCGCCTCTTATTCCCTTTGAGATTTATTTAGTAGTCTCTACTTTTACTACTGTAACTATGTGACTACTATGCCATTTCTAATACTAAGACTACCGTTACTATCATTATTACTGCTGATATTACTAAAAAACATTGCTACTATTACCACTTCCATCTTCTTTCCCCATACTTCCTCTCGACCTGTTTTCTAATATTCTTTGGTATTTTTTTTTCTCGCTAAGTTGTGATCTGATAATGGTCCAGGACTGACCGAAAGGGTGTCTAAAGTTTGCTCTGTAATTACGGGTTATTTGTGGATGAATTATTAAATGCAATAATAATAATAATAATTGAAAACTATTGGATAATGATATTAAATATATTCACGACTAAGAATCAGACAGTACAAAGAATTCAAGTTCAAAGAAATGCAAGATTATATATGTGATTTTTACACGAAAACGGTGATATGATGAGAGAGAGAGAGAGGGAGAGAGAGAGAGAGAGAGAGAGAGAGAGAGAGAGAGAGAGAGAGAGAGAGAGAGAGAGAGAGAGAGAGAGAGATGGAAACAGCATCAAAATAAAAAAAGAAATTAGATGGATCGAGCCCCGCACATACTTGCATTGTTGAGGATCCTGTGGGTGTCCAGCCACACAGACTTGAAATCCATCAAGTGGTCGGTGTTCTTCATCTTGACGGTCCTCACGTGGATGGGCACTGGCCGGGCGAGGGTCACCTTGCCCGCTTCTTGTGTCAGAGTCATCAATGCTAAAGTGCCTTGGTCACTATCACGCTGCTTGGCTAATGTTCCTTTTCCAAAGGGTTGTGACAAAGCAAGTGGCGTTCCTAGTCCACAAGACCGAGGTTGCGTTGAGGCAAGCGGCGCTCAAAGTCCAATAGATTAAACTAATATTGGAAGTGTGGTGTTTATTGCCCATTAAACGTGGTTATTTTGTTTTAAATATTTCTATTCAAAAACTGTTTAACTTTGCTGGTCCGGTGATGTTACATGAGCGACAATAGGCGTTGCTCTGCCGGTATGACAGCACACAGTGTTAGGTAAGTGGCGTCCCTATGAAGGTAAGATGATCCTCGTCCATGTGTCTCCCAAATCACGTATCCCTCTGTGTCAGATAAGCGGGAAGGTATATTTCCGTGTCCTTGTGTTGCTTATACAAGTTCACCTCGCCCTTTAAATCTACAAATGTCTAATAATATAAATAAATGAAACCCCCATCTAAAAAGTTAACACGGAATACCTCTGCATTAATATCACTATTCACGAAGGCCAAGAAAAATATCTTGAAATAATTATTTCCATTCCCTAAGCATACACTCATCACAATTAAAGACATATACCCATCAAAACCAGCAGGTAAACACCTTGACGATACCGAAAGGCAAGGCTTATGTAAAAATTTGCAGGTAACCTTCCCAGTAAAATTTACTCGTTACCCACCTAACGAATCAGGTAAGAGGGAAGCTGGATTGATTCATTGATTATGAATAAAACACTCATAACACGAGTTTGAATCCCATAAGAACTCTAAATTTCAATACTAGGTGGGGCTGGTTGAAATATATTGAACTATATTTTTTCGTTAGGTTCGGAATAATTTTTGCGAAATTATTGCATACACAAATTTTCGCTTGCCTTATTCGGCAAGTAGAGCGTTGCTATTTAAGCCAAAATCACACACACGCACACGCACACGCACACGCACACGCACGCACACACACACACACACACACACACACACACGTAAGTATTGTTTTTCTTTTTGTATTCTTATAACGCATAAAACTACTTATGATTTTCCGTACTCCTCCCCTCTGGCCGGATGCTGACGATGTAACTATTTCCACAAGGTGACCATTGGGCTGATCTAATTCCATACCTTTCCTGGCCACCTCCCTAGCTGCTCATGCACTTACGCACAAGTGGAAGCACACGCGCGCACTCACACTCGCGCGCGCGCGCACGCACACTCTCTCTCTCTCTCTCTCTCTCTCCCTCCCTCCCTCTCTTGCAAAAATAACTAATTAGTGGCGTTCCTAAAGGGTCATTACCGGCCACCCATACTTTTTTTTAGTAAGAACAGAAAACCACGTGAGCGCATTTATATGTGTAGTGAAATGCTAAAAAAAATCATTACATACACAGGACAAAAATTATAATATGCAATATGGTATCCCCACAAAAAAAAAAAAATCGAAAAACAGAAAAGATTTTTAAAGACATGAATTTGTTTTAGATGTTCAGAGAGAGGTTCCGGAGGGTGTCACTGACGCTGCCATACTCTGAGAAAAGTTTTCCCTCGTTTCTGTTGTTGCTACCTTTACAACATTGCACGGCTCCTGATAACGTACTGAGAAGTGTGAAAGAACTTGAGCTAAAGATTCCCATCCCCCCTGTGGCTTGTCTTGCATTGTCTGGGTTGGACAAACACAGGAGTGGGTTGGACCTGAGTAGAATGCGGCCTGGAAAGTGTTCCTCCATCTTTCATTCCATGGGGAAATAATGGATTCCAGAGGTATGAAGAATTAATTAGAAAGAAAGATTGTGACAATTGACTCCTCGTGAATACCTTGGAGTTTGTAATAATTTTGGTAGAATTACCGATAATATGTTGGGTACAGGACACAAATACAACTAATGTGACATTTTATTGTTACAACATTTCGCTCTCCAGGAGTCTGGCTTGAGCAAGCTCCTGGAGAGCGAAACGTTGCCGCAATAAAATGTCACATTTGTTGCACTTGTGCCCTGTCACCTAAATACCTCAAAGATTATCCCCAGTATTTGAGTTTGTATTTTGATAGCAAGGAATGTACTGGTAGAACACACTGGTAGAACACACTGGTACAACACACTGGTGCAACACACTGGTACAACACACTGGTGCAACACACTGGTACAACACACTGGTACAACACGCTGGTACAACACACTGGTACAACACACTGGTGCAACACTCTGGTACAACACGCTGGTGCAACACACTGGTAGAACACACTGATACAACACGCTGGTACAACACACTGGTACAACACACTGGTACAACACGCTGGGAAGTAACACTGTTTATTCGCATTAATTTATTTGCTTCTAAGTTATGTTTTGGAGTTTGAGATAATAAATTGTTTATTATTACTTTTCTCTGAGATCTTAAAAACAGTTTTTCAACTAGGTAACATTTCAGTTATCTACTTACTTCATGTTAATAAAGAATCAACACACACAACTGAAGCAGAGAGTAGAGGAGGAAGTCATTCACAAGCATCCATCACTATCAAAACACATTATACACGATGTTTCGCCCTTATTTATATGTGAACAAGCTTCTGTTCAAGTTGTTTCGATAGGTAAAATGACGAAAATAATTATATCAACAAAAATTTTTTTTGAGCTGATGAAAGAAATATATATTAATTCTAATACGTTCTTTTAGTTATTTTGACCATTTTGTTGTCATTTTCTTTTAGTTGTTAAAAAAACTACAGTTTTCGATGAATTTCTTTTATCATTTCTGTAACGATACTTATTGGAGAACTAATTAATCTTTAGACTTGCAGAAGAGAAAGCATAAACCTGTAAGTGACTGATGTATCTATACCTTACTGTATTATGTATCTATACCTTACTGTATTATGTATCTATACCTTACTGTATTATGTATCTATACCTTACTGTTATTATGTATCTATACCTTACTGTATTATGTACTGATTAAATAACTTATTGCCTTCTGGATCTTACTCTTTTATTAGATTACTTCTTATCTTCTTTATATAATTGCTTGATTGCTAAAATATTTATCATCTGTACCTTATTACTTGATTCACTATTAGATGCCTTATTATCTTCTATAATTTCATGTCTGATTGATTAAAGGATTCCTTGATATCTTCTGTGTTTCGCTATTTGATTGGTTTGTGAGATTATTTACTGAATGTTTTCAGACACCTTTTGAATGACTGGGGTGCATGTACTTTGTGAGTGACTGGGGTGCATGTACATTGTGAGTGACTGGGGTGCATGTACTTTGTGAGTGACTGGGGTGCATGTACTTTGTGAGTGACTGGGGTGCATGTACTTTGTGAGTGACTGGGGTGCATGTACTTTGTGAGTGACTGGGGTGCATGTACTTTGTGAGTGACTGGGGTGCATGTACTTTGTGAGTGACTGGGGTGCATGTACCTTGTGAATGACTGGGGTGCATGTACTTCGTGAGTGACTGGGGTGCATGTACTTTGTGAATGACTGGGTGCATGTACTTTGTGAGTGACTGGGGTGCATGTACCTTGTGAATGACTGGGGTGCATGTACTTCGTGAGTGACTGGGGTGCATGTACTTTGTGAATGACTGGGGTGCATGTACTTCGTGAGTGACTGGGGTGCATGTACTTTGTGAATGACTGGGGTGCATGTACTTTGTGAGTGACTGGGGTGCATGTACTTTGTGAGTGACTGGGGTGCATGTACCTTGTGAATGACTGGGGTGCATGTACTTCGTGAGTGACTGGGGTGCATGTACTTTGTGAATGACTGGGGTGCATGTACTTTGTGAGTGACTGGGGTGCATGTACCTTGTGAATGACTGGGGTGTATGTACTTTGTGAATGACTGGGGTGCATGTACTTTGTGAGTGACTGGGGTGCATGTACTTTGTGAGTGACTGGGGTGCATGTACTTTGTGAGTGACTGGGATGCTTGTACCTTGTGAGTGACTGGGGTGCATGTACCCTGTGAGTGACTGGGGTGCATGTACCTTGTGAGTGACTGGGGTGCATGTACTTTGTGAGTGACTGGGATGCTTGTACCTTGTGAGTGACTGGGGTGCATGTACCTTGTGAGTGACTGGGGTGCATGTACCTTGTGAGTGACTGGGGTGCATGTACCTTGTGAGTGACTGGGGTGCATGTACCTTGTGAGTGACTGGGGTGCATGTACCTTGTGAGTGACTGGGGTGCATGTACCTTGTGAGTGACTGGGGTGCATGTACCTTGTGAGTGACTGGGGTGCATGTACCTTGTGATATGATTAAATGAGTGCTCCATGTGGTTAACTTTACAAGAACTTCGCTTTGTGTGGAAAATAGCATGTTAGTGAAGGTGAATGTGGATGTCTGCACCAACTCAGATGACACACTTGTCAACAATTAGTAAATTACCAACTCATTATACTCCGACACGACCAATACACACAATCACACGCCAAATCGCTAAAGTGCCTGACTTGAGACAATTTCCATCTCTTCCTATGGTCTCCTCTACACTTAAGAAGCCTTCCTAAGGATAAGAAATTGAAGACAGGAATTCCCCAATGTGTTCTACCGTCAACGGTGCCAACAACCGCCATTCGACATGGGCAGGCAACAGAGCCACTCTCAAGTGTACATTATTTTCCCTTTCGTAAATAAGATAAAAACGAAAAGGAAATTTTTCTGAGGTCCTTGCAGATAATATATCAACAGAGAGCCACAGTCGAGTAGACATAAGGAAACACACACAAATCACAATGGAGAGTTCACGGTGAAAATATCTCAGGATTCTCCAGAACATGTCCATGGGAACGTTCCACGAACGCTAGGATTTCACAACAACTTGTATTAGAATCCTCACACTGGATTCCAACAGTTCTCACAGGACACACGGAAAGACGCAACTACAGTAAGGAAGTGGCAAAAGGATGCCAAAATCCATAAAAAATCAGTATTACTTAGGGGGTGAGGGCCAACTCGTCACCCTCCAGCGCGTATATGAGAGTGCTACTGATGACACATACACAATCACACACTACCCTGGCACTCCTACCATGCTCCTTCTCCCCCTAACCAACCATCCCTTATCCAACAAAAATTCCCCTTTTCATAAAATGTTGGTACTAAGTACTAAGCATGTATATAGTACATACACTGTTTATATGTGTATATGCAAAACAACCACAGGGGAGTAGAATGATAGCGTATTATATATATATATATATATATATATATATATATATATATATATATATATATATATATATATATATATATATATATCATTTCTAGTTCTAAACTGGGACTCCGCACCTCGAAGAAGATAATATAAGGATCTGAAGGAAAAATTTTGAGGTTTCTTCCCTGAGGTATACCTCTGATGAGTTCCGAGAGTTTTTTATTCCCAGTGCCCGGCCTTGCACAATGCTTGTCTTGTGCTTGCTTGGTCAACCAAGCTGTTGCTGCTGGTGGCACTGCTAATTTATATATTCATCACAGGCTGGTTTATCTTATATCTGGTGAAGATACT